GTAGTCCCACGTGGCCCCGGGTGCCTTTCCCTGAGGTGTCCCATGCCTCTTGGGCGTCTTGTCGTCTCATAGCGACCCTTTTCTCTAGTCTTTCCTCACGCCTTGTGCACGTCGATCAGTTTTGGTCGTGGGCCTCTGCTCCGAGGCTCCCGTAGGTGGCCTCCACGTTGGCCCCTCATTTCCTGGCTTCCCGCGGCCTCTGGGCCGCCCATCTCTTGGCTTCCTCATTCCCTTATTGCTGTCGTGCTGCAATTGTTAGTTCAAGGGGTCCTTTGACCTTAGTCTTATTGCATACCGATGACCCTCCCGACCTCCTGCTATGTTCTATGTGCCCCTGTTCTTGTGCTCGCTTGCTTGCTACCGCTTAGTTATTTTCCTTTGTGGTTCTCGCCCCAGGGCATTACTCTCTCTTGCGGCCTAATCCTTTATCTCGTTTCACTCTTGATTTCTCTGTTGTGCACAGTTCATTCATATTCGGTCTCTCGAGTGATGGGAAGTTATTCGGGACTCACCAGTCCCGACACATTCCCCCCACTCTTTCGCGATGTCCTCATCGCGCACCAATCTCTTGTCAGTGAGTTTTGGAGGGATAGATGAGAGAGGGAGATGAGATGTTATGGATGGTTAGTTTGTCAGGGTCCGTTTTGTTCTTTTCCCATTCCTTTGTCAAGGTTTTCCTTAGCTTCCGTCCCTTGGGGTGGAGGAGGGTATGGGGGAGTCAAAGGTTCTTCAGCTTAGACCAGGTTGCTCATTTCCGTCATAGCTCTGCCTTTTTATCTTTCCCTCAATTGAGATGCAAACTTCCTCTCCAGTCAACTCTATATACCCAGCAGGGCAACCCATAATTCTTTCAACTTCATTAACATGAAGTAGACGAGACTCTCCTTGCTTCATGCACTTAACTACTGGTATGCTGACTTTATTCCCAGGGTGACAATTTGTTGTCATAACACAATTTGTTTTCTCATTTTATGCCTTGGCTTTGTTGATAACAAATTGTAGGCAAGTTTTCGGATGCGACTCAATGTCAGGCATTTGCTCCGGAAGGGGGATGTTCGTCCAGTACGACCGCCGCCTTTGTTGTGGTGATACCCACTTCGAATCAGTGAGCCCAGACACAACTCCCCTTAAGTGCTTCGTAATCTCAAATCCATCTTCCCATTTCATTGAGAAAACATTCTCGAGCAGAAACCATTTTGGTTTCGCCTCATTCATTACTCTTAGAGTCATAAAAAAATAATCTACTTTTCGGCCCGTGCAATCCATGTTCTCCCGTCATTCTTTCCTCAGTCTCATGCCTAGCCAGTTCCCATGTATTTTTCCAATGTCATTTTGCCCAGCTTATGTGTGTCATCCTCATTCGTCTTTTCTCGTATCCAGGCTTTAAAATGCGCGTTACTCAGTCCTCTTATTCACATCTTTCTTCTGGCCTCTTGCCAGACCTCTCTCATGCAAAGTCCATTATACCTGTATCTCTTTTCTAGGCGTCTTGCGAGACTTTTCCGTAGGTTTACGCAAAACTCATTTCACATATCTTTCTTTTCTGAACATCCTGCCAGACCTTCTCTCAAGCCCATGCTAGGTCAAATACTCATCCATTTATCTCCTGGACGTCCCGCCAGGTTTCTTCTCAAGCCCATGCGGAGTCATTCACACATTTTTTCCTCAGTCGGGCACCTTGCCAGGCCTTTTTTCAAGCTCATGCAATGTCAATTACTCATCCGTTTCTCTTCTGGACATCTTGTCAGGCCTTTTCTCAAGCTCATGCAACGTCAATTACTCATTTGTTTGTCTTCTGGACATCTTGTCAGACCTTTTCTCAAGCCTGCACAAAGTCAATTACTCATCCATTCTTTTCTTCTGGACATATTGCCAAACCTTTTGTCAAGTCTGCGCAAAGTCAATTACTCATACATTCTTATGCTCATGGTAACCTTCTCTTTTGCACGCTTTTTCATCGGTAGATGACACACCTTCCCCCCACTCAAAATGCGATGTCCTCATCGCACGACTAATTCTCACTCGGAGGTACGCAGACCTTGGCCCACCAACTGAGTAGACGGATGTCGACCCATCAGCCCCAAAAAGGAAGGGTGATCAGTCCTCCCCCTGCTAATAACTCACCTCATCCCCTAATCCAGTCCGACCTTTTGCCGCTTACAAGACGGGCGTCATCACTGAGGTACCACCCCACATCTGGAAGGTAGGTCCAGTCCAAGCCTGCCAGGACCCCGTCTTGCCGTAAGTGACTTATCACGAATCGTTCCTCCCGAGCAGTGTTTTCTTGGATCCGGCCTCGTCCTTTCAAGAGAGTTGGGGCTCTCTATTAGTCTGCGAGTGCAGTTACGAAGACCTCGCCGTTAGTCCCGGAACGGTTGTAATGATCCGGCAGGGCGGTGTCACTCGCCCTGTGGTGGTTGCGGCTTCCATCCGGTACCACGCCCGATTCCTCCCTCTGGACAGTGCTGTTCAACTTAACGCGAGCAGCCGTGGTCCATTCCAAACGGTCGAGCCGCCCCTCTATGGCATAGCGTGTGGTTGGGGAGAAAAAATGAGACTTAGAAAAAATAATGGCTCTCTCGCCCGTTTGGCACCACGCCCTTGACGTTTAGGTTTTCAACATGAGGCGCAATTTGAACTCCCCGACTAGAACTCGTTGTCGGGGTTAGTTCCGGACGACCAGCATCCATCAAAGAGAGGTGCTTTGGTCCTTCAACCCTTATTCTTTCTTATGAGGAGCAGGTCGCATTGAGACTTTTCCCTTAACGGGTAGAGGTCTTGGGGTCGCGATGCAGGCATTGTTATCCCCCTTATGTTGAGACCTGAGACTAGAAAAAAAGGAAAGCTCAATCTTTTGCTATTTCCATGGTCGGCCCGACGACCTTACATCAAGTTGCCTAGGGTTCCCTGACTATGCAATGCAATATCCAATTCTCAATCATTCAATCCGATGCTATTTCCAAGTCTGATTCTCATGGCTGGTCCGGCAGCGTCTCATCAACAAGGCCACCCAGATGACTGATCTGGTTGTCATTCTCTCAATAGCTATTTCTCAAGACTAACCCTTCCGCCTATTTAATCCTCAATTTTTTCATTCCTCAACACCCAATTTTTGTGACCGTCCCAACGGTCCCTGCCCTTCTTGACTTTAAGGTTCGGCCTTCTTTATCCTGCCCTTCTCATTCACATCTTTCTTTCGCCCCCTTGGCTATTTCAGCGACCGACCCACCGGCCTTTTCCATCTCTTCCATTCATCCCATTGGCTATTTCAATGACCGACCCGTCGGCCTTTTCCATCCCTTTCATCCATCCATTGGCTATTTCAATGACCGACCCACCGACCTTTTTCATCTCTTTCATCCATCCATTGGCTATTTCAATGACCAACCCACTGACCTTTTTCATCTCTTTCGCTCATTCCAGCACATTTTCAATCAACCTTTCTCAATCAAATATGCAGGGGACCCCGGTGCCTATTTCAAAAGGAATGACCCTTGTCAGGGGTCGTTCCCAAACAACCTAGTTAGGGTCGTTCTTTTCCATGCTCAAGTCGAATAGCCTGGTTAGGGTCATTCCTTTCCATTCTCAAGTTGAACAGCCTGGTTAGGGCCATTCCTTTCCATTCTCCAGTCGAACAGCCTGGTTAGGGCCATTCCTTTCCATTTCCAAGTCGAACAGCCTGGTTAGGGTCATTCCCTTCCATTCTCAATGTTAGTGCCCGAGGGGTTGGGCCTCGAGGTTACAGATCCTAGTTTTGTCTTGGAGGTTAGAAGGTGACCATCTCATCTCAGTTTTTAGCGTGTTGTTCTCTTTCTTCCATTTCCCACAGTGATGTAATATCCACACATACATCCGACTTAGCGTCTAGTACTCGAGTTGGAGCTCGCGGCCCCAAGCAACACTAGCCCACTCGGCAGTTCAGCCATAGCGAATGACAGGGGCGCCCCTTCCATTTTCACTCTTTCTGATCACTCAGATTTCGGCTATTCTCAGACTCATTCATGACTCAGTTGGATTAGGCTCATAGGGAAGGAGTGTTCTTCACGCCCCTTAACCCATAGGTTCCCTAACCTCTCTTGTACTCGACCAACATTCAAGGCCTTGCTTTGCTCGTCAATCCGTACTCCAAATCTTTTTCCTCAAAAGGCACAATCCTCATTCCATCCAAATTTCACAATACCCCCTTCCCAACTGGTCTCATCCCAAATCCCGTGTCTTTGTTTTATGTACCCATCTTAGAAGATGGCTCATCCAAAAAGTACACTCAAAAACTATCTTCTATCTTATCGTGACACAGCCTTAGCTGGCCCTCTTTTCACTTCATCCTTAGCAAACTGTCCATACTGTACACGTTCTCGTCATTCTCATGTCTCCTGCAAACGAAAAAAGAAAAAACAACGACCCTTTTCAATGCTAAATCAACATTTAATTCTTATTGCTGCCTTGCGCCTCGTCTTGCCCAGTTCCTTGTCCTCCCTGTTGCTCGGCAAACTTCCTAACCCCCAAGCCGTAGGTCTCGATTTCTCTCTTCTTTCTTGCAATTTCCTGTAATTCAGTTTCACTGAAGAAGTCCAACGACGTAGCTTCCACCCCCGCCTTTGCAAGTTCCCGGGTCTTGATAATCCATTCGATCACATTGGTCCATTGCTGAAACCAATGACTGGGTGTTGGCCCAAACTCGTCCTCCCATCCGAAAACCCCGTCGCCCGGCTGGTGCATCGGAGTCCACCCTTCTTCCCTAGGCCTCGATATCTCATCCCTCTCATCCCCGCTGCTGATTTCTATGACTTCTCGTACATCCTCCTCCTCGTCCTCCTCGTCTTCTGTCTGTATGGGGCTATACCCACCTGCAAGGTTCTTCAGATCGTAGGTAAAAGAAATCTCTGTCCCCGTCCCATACCCCTCACAACTGTCGTGGCCGCTTCGTCCTTCAAGCGGGCTTTCCCTTCTCTCCTCACCCTCCTCATGTTCGTCGCGCATGTCTTGTCCCCCCTCGCTTTCTCCATGCCAAGTCTCACGTCGCTTGCCCCTGTTGGCTCCTTCCTCGTCAAAGACCTGAACCTTATCTCCATATTTGCATTGCCTCCTTCTTCCACTTCTGCCTTTTCCTTCCCTCCCTCACTGTCAGACGAGATTTTTATACCTTCCCCCTTGCGGAGGGGTGAGGGTTTCCTACACAAGCATTTCCTTCCACCCCAGCCTACCACTGGCCCACCCATGAGTCCTATGTACAACTTTCTCTTCGCCGCCCTCCTCCCTTGGCTTGGTCCTGCTTCCTCCCCTCCGGTAGGCCTGTTGATCGCCCCGCTGTCGTTCTCGTTGCCGAATTTCATTTTTTTGCCTTTTCTCGTTTTTTCTCCTAGGTCCTGTATAACAAAACAACACCCGCAATGCCCCGCATACACACATTCCCCCCCGTCCGGTAGACAGCTCCCTTTTCCCAAAAATGCTCCCAGTATCCTTCGCATCATGCCCCTTTTATACATTTCCCTCCCTTATGCAAAAGCGTCGTTTGTGAAGATTCCATTTTTTTTTCCGTAAAAAACTATGGTACAATGCCCCAAACACCCCTTCCCGTCGTCGCACATGCCAGATATTGCAAACCCCCAAGTCATGCTGCCTTTCAACCTCAGTCAGTCCAAGCCATTGTCCGAGTCCCCCATGGTCAGAGACAACCCATAGTGTGGGTAAGGCTGTGGTCAGTCTTTAGCTTGTGGCTCCTCAGTTTCCTTATCTTCGGCCTCCTGAAGTCATTGTTCCACCGGGTTCTGGCTTAGAAACCTGACCAATCGTTGCCTCGGGAAGGGCCCTTTCAATCCAGTTCCATCCAAATCTTCCAGTTCGAAGGTGTTCAGTCCCACCTGCTTGGCGACCCGGTAGGGACCTTTGAACCTTCTTCCCAGTTGTCCCGACCAAGCACTTTCTAGTGTCGAGTTCCTTAGCAATACCATCTCTCCCACTTGAAGTGGCTCATTTATGACATTCTTAACTTGGTCCCACCTTGCTTTGTCCCTCATTCTACTGTCTAATACGCGGTTGGCGATGTCTTCCATGACCTCCTCGTTCTTAAGGATCTGTTGACATCTTGCCTCGATTAACTCTTCAGTAGKCATTTGCGGATCATCATCTAACCTATTCGAGGTAGGTACCAAGGCTTCCACAGGAAAGTCGATCTCTCTTCCGTACCTAAGTTTTGCCGGGATACATCCTGTTGTCCTTTTAGGGGTCGTATTCTCCGCAAAGACAGCCTGCTTAGGATACCTAGGTCAGTTTCCCAGATGGTCCGCTGCGAGCTTCGCAATCGTGTTCTTCAAGGTTCGGTGCCCCCTTTCCACAGGTGCATTGGCCTCAGGGTGATACGGCTCGATGAGTTTGATCGGTACGCAGAGTCTCTTAAGCATCCCCAATACTTCTTGGTTCACAAACTCCGTCTCATTGTCTGCTATAAACATCCTGACGAAAGGATGCCTCAAGTAGAAGTCTTCTATCCAGTTCGTCACACTCCTCCCTGTCTTTTTCTTGAGGGCGACCGTCTCCACGAACCCACTCAAGTTGTCTCACGCATCCAGGATATACTTGTACCCATCCGTTGATACAGGCATGACCGCAAGGTCGAGAGGTGGACTAGATGTCCCGGCCCTAGCACCCGCGTTGGTCTAAGCGGCTCGAAGACCCGCACCGAGCTTCGTTCTAGGCAAATAAGGCAAGTCTGGCAGTATATGGCGACCATGTCTGCCATGCCTGACCAATAATAGAGTGGGGTTATCTTTGCAAGCGTTCCTTTGGACGACCGATGACCTCCAGCTAACCCGTCGTGCATTGCCTGGATAACGTCTACTTGCCTAGATCTTCCGCACACAATCCTTCTGGGCATAGCACCTTCCTCCCTTCGGAACAAATGCCCGCCCCTTAGGACGTACCTTTCGGCTTCTTCTCTCGCTTTAATACTGACTTCCGTAGGTTGTTTGTTGCCTACCAGCAACAGTCCGATCTCCCGAAAGAGCCCTTCGTATGATTGGACATAGAAAAACTCTTCCCCTTCCTGGCCCTCCTTCCCTTCCTGCGTCTGGTTTACCACCCATTGCAACTTTGTCCTTTCCCAAAATTCCACTAAACTCATCACTGCTTCCCGGCCTCCCTCGACCGCCATTGCTATTAGTTCCTCTTTCGGTCCTACTATCGCTCTCCATGAGTCCTTTTCTTCTCTGCGTCCTCGAGTGGTGACTGGTCCTTCTCTAAGTTCTGCTACTACGGCAGGTGTCCCCTTCTCCAAAGTTTGGATCAATAGTTCTTCCGATGTGCATTCCTCGCTCATCATTTCGTTATCCACCGAGAGAGTCTCTCCTTCGTATTTGAGGAATGTGTCTATAGGCTCCACACCCTCCACCCCTTCAGGAGTGATACAGACCCGGCTCAGCCCATCGGCCTTGTTCCTTATTCCCACAATTCGTTCGATTTTGTAATCAAACTGCCAGATAAATCCTACCCATCTCCCTACCGTCGGGTCTATAGGCCTGTAATTCTTTAGGGCCCCTGCAACATTCGTTGGATCGATCCTAAGGATGAACCGCCTCCCAAATAGGTAGGCCTGAAAGGTCTTAAGGCAGTGCAAGATGGCTAGGACCTCCTTCTTGAACTGCGAGTACCGCCACTCTGCGTAGTTCAGGGTTCTACTTTCGAACCTAATCAGCCTCTCTTTTCCTCCCTCATCCCTTTGAATCAACACGCCCCCCCCCGGCTAAAGGTCCTCCATCCGTCTCTAGGATGAAGGGTCGTCCTACTTCGTCATTAAAACAAGGTGCGGACAGGGCGACTGTCTCAAATGTCAATATGTCCTTAAGCTTCTGGACTGCTCCTTCTCGCTCATCCGTCCAATCCATGCTTCCTTCCTCCCTGATCATAGCCCGGATAGGCTCCGCAATCTTGGCAAAATTCTTAATGAAGATCCTCCAGAAATCGACCACGCCTAGGAATGCTCTCACTTCCGTTGTAGTGCGCAGGGGGGTTGGCCACTGCGATATGTTGTCCGTTTCGCCGGATCCGGCTTCCTACCGTAAGCACCGCAGCGAAATCCTAGTATGGTTACTTCTGGTACAACTAGAATACTCTTTGGTCCACTAGCCGTGATGTTGTATACTAGGAACCGGCGGAACAAGTCCTCGATGTCTTATAGATGGTCCCATACAAACTTTCGGATTTCTGGTTGGACTTTTGTCTCGTTCTTCTCATGCGCACCTTTGATCGGATTGTCGTCGATATAGGGCTCACACTTTTCTGGAAACATGTCCCCGGCCACGGTGAGCATTCTGCATTGCGCTTCGGCCACAGCGTTTGTGAATCCTATAGGGGTCACTTGCATCTGTAGCTGGCCTACGGGGGTGTGCATAGCGGTGTACGACCTGTCCCGAACATCCAACGGAAGCTAGTTGTACCCTGAGTACAGATCTATCAGGGAGTAAATGCTCCGACCGGCGTGCGATTCTGCTAATAAGTCAGCCTGAGGTAGCGAGCCAGCATGCCGGATGGTTACCGCATTCAACTTTTGTAGATCCTGCATCCACCTTAGTATCTTGTTAGGCTTTCGAAAGACGAACCACCGGTTTGCGTATGGCGACACCGTAGGCTCCGCAACGAAGGAGTCCATTTTTGCTCGGAGGAGGTCTGTCACTTCCCCTGCTATCCCAAATTCATAGGACGACCCCTTGTCATTCCAGCACTTGTGTTGTACCGTGTAGATTCTGACTGGAGGGATCAGCTTCGCATTCAGTCGTCCCTTCTGGTGATCACTAAAGACAAATGCCAGGTGAAACTCCTGGCAGGTCCTTTTGATCAGGCGGGTTTCCTCTTCCGTTAAGAACCCGTCTATCCCTATCTTCATTGTGTCAGCTACCTCATCTGGTATCCGATGTCCCTCCGTCGCCCTTCTTTCTGGGATTACTCGAAGGACTTCTTCCTCCTTCTCCATAGCCTCTTCCTTTGATGTCTCTAGCAAGATCGAGACCGGTTTTGCTTTCTTCCCTACCGGCTTGTACTTTCGAACACTTCCTTCCGGGATCTTTCTCCTAAAAAATGAACAGTCGGAATCGCCCTCATTGCCTCTACGACTCGTGGTTGAATACTAACTAGTTTCCCATTCAGGCAATATCCACCTTGTGGTATCTGAGCGCCTTGATGAGTTGTAACAGATCGGGGATCTCGAGTGCGACTTCTGGCACGTTTATGCGTACTTCTTTCCGTTTGGGCAGGCTAGCACCAAGTTCGGCCTCTGACTCTTTTTCTGCTACCATAACCCCTACGACTTCGTCCTCCTGCCTCCTCTTCTTCTGGGGCAGGCCCATCTTGATCCACTCCTTCTTGTTGAATGCTTCCTCAATCATGATTTCTACCCTTTCTCTCATACCCTCCATCCATGTGAAAGCCCCTTTTCGCGTGCTATCCTCGAACGACGACAACCATGTTGTCAATTTCCCCTTCGGGGGGTCTCCTCCCGTTCCAAGGAGTAGGAGGAGCTCTCCCCGGCTGGTCACTGGGTCCTCTATGTCTACCATATATGAGCCATCGTGCAAGTGCATGCCTATCATCTCCACGTTCGCGCACCACGGTCTCCTGAGGATTATGTCGTGGTCCATTTCCTCCATTATGGTCATCCGCTGAAACGACTAGATCGATTCCCTGACTCCTGCCTTTACAACACACTTCATGACGTACCCAGCGAACGGGATTTCCCCGCCAGCTCCCCGGATGCTCCCTGTTACTTCCTTGTTTATCGTACATCCCGTGATCGTTGCGAAATCTCTTCTTATGAGAGTGATTTCTGATCCCTCGTCTACTAACGCGTCGGTATGATGAGTCCCGATCTGGATTTTCAGCTTCCCTACGGGCAGTGCATGAAAGCTAAGCTTTGTCCCGGGTGGTGACCTGATGACCTCGCCGCCCTCTCGGTCTGGCAAGCTCAAACGAATGTCTGCAAAAACTTTTTCGAGATCCTCCAAGTCCTCGTGACTCCTTTGAAGGTTAGCCACTTCTTGCGGAGCTTCCTCCTCCCTCTCCCCTTCTGGTAATTCGGGGTTGTCGCCTATTTCTACTCGCCGCCGAGTCAACAATTGTCTAAGCCCTTTGAGCAACCTAGGGCTAGCCTGCAGCATGGTCTGAAAAGATGTGAAAACCATGTGTAGCCAGCCTCCCCCGGGTTCAAGATGGGAAACGGATCGGACAGCGCTAGCTCAACACTAAAGTCTAGGAGAGTTCTGACATCATTCCTGTTTGCTGACGGAGCCCCCGGCCTCAGGGCTTCGTCCAGTGAGACGTTCCAGTCTCCCGCTACCATCAATCTATTCACTTGAGGAACGTGCTGCATGAATTTAGAAAAGAACTTTGCTCTTTTCCCAGGCGCAGTTGGCGCGTACACCGTCATCAACGCCCATTCCTCGTTCCCGATTACTACCTTCATCCATGCCCATCTGCCCCATAGGTCCGCCTCGGAGTCTATCACCTGCGCCTGGAGGTCCCTATGGAGTAAGATCCCCACTCCCCATCGGCTACCCTGCGCCGGAGCCCAAATTTGTGGCCCCTCCCACCATCGAATGAACTCCTTGAGTTTTTCTTCGTCTAGTTTAGTTTCCTGAAGAAAAACGCAGTTAATTTTCCACTCGTGAAGCCAGCTCTTCAGTCTGCTCCTTTTGGACCTCCCATTGGTGTCTCCCAAGCCTCGGATGTTCCAGGTGGCTGCCCGAATCTTATCCATCCACCGTACTTATGACCGCCTGCGATTGGATGTGGTTGTTGTGTGCCTGCTGTTCGGACTCCCACTGTTGCTGTTCCGACTGTACCAGCGGCGTCCTGCTTCTATCGGCGGAGTCTCTTGATCTATGTTGTGACCTGCTTCTTACAGAGCTAGACTTGGAGAGGGACTTCCACTCTTCTGTTAGTTTTCCTGCCAAGAAACTGGAATGCATGTTCTCCTCCGAAGACAACTTCTCGTTGATGTTTAACAGGATCAACGCAGATATGCCCGGTATGACCTTGATGAGGTCTAGCTCCTGCTGATTTCGTTCCCTGACCAGATCCATGTGGCACTAACGAATACCGGACTGGGACAGCAGGTTCGCCGTCTCTTGCGGTATTCTCGCATCTAACAGCGGGAAGTACATCTTCGTATATCCTTGGATTGTTTCCACTATCACATTCGCCATCTCGGTATGTGGAATGAGCCTGATCGGGACATGCGCCCCGAACAGCTTCTTCGTTTCCTCTAAGATCAGCGCCGGAGTAGGGGACCTGTCTATTGATGTCGAGGGGATAACAAAAACATCTGTTTCGTTTGCGATCGCCAGGAAGCAAATGCCCTGAGCGGAGCTTGTGCAGAGCAGTGGGACCAAGCACCTCTGAACAACTTCCATTTTGTTCCTTTCAAAGGTCTACGCTCTCTGACCCCTATTCGGAACACGTCTGCTTCCCACTTCCTGTTTATTCTGAGTGCCCTGCCCCGACCCTGTTGAGCTCTTCAGGGAAGATGAGTCATCATCCTGCTGGGATGAGCCGTATCCTTCCTCGCAGCATTCGCTGCCCCATCTAATCCTTGAGCAGGACGTGACTGAGATATTTGATAATTCCTCTTGGATTACTTCTGCTCGAGCTGGAGGACTGCAGGGGGTTCTCCCCTGCACGACCTCCTCTTCTTCTCTCTGTCTCGAGTTGTGTAATTGGGGGTCTTGCCTCCACGGTTGAGAGATGGCCCCTCTCGCTCTGTGTGGGTCTTCCTTCCATGCGTCCCACCTCGTGCTGCTCGACCTTGTTCTTCGTCTGTTCGCCCCTCCCCTGGCATCCCATCTCGAGAAGTCCAGGGAGGGGTTTCCTCTCCCCTGTGCTGTATAAGTCAGTTTCCGCCAGTCATAGTCTGCTGAAGGATAGCCTGGGATCAGATGCTCCACCTGTCCAAAATGCCTGCCCTGACCAATCTGTTCTTCGAAAACTGCCTGCCCCTGCTCCTGCTGTCCCAGCTGTTGCTGCATAAATCTATGTGCCTGGTAAGCCCCGCTGGCCTTTGTCTCTCGTTGGTACCAGTGGTGCTCTTGCCAGTTCCCATGCGCCGAGGGTCCCTGGATCCCTGGGGCAGCGCCTGGCCCAGACATCTGAGTGTTGTGTACTCTGTTGTAACCTCCTCCTTCCCCTTGCCACTCCATTCTTGCGTTCCAAGGGGTTGACATTGGCAACCCTGCTCCTGGTGACCTTTCCTGTTCCCACAGCTGGTATCCTTCAGTTTGGTCCCCTCCCTGGGCCCAGGGGTCCGCAGGACCACAGGCCTGATTGCTGAGCTGCTGTTGATGCTGTGGGAGCCCGGGGTAAATCGAAGTTCCCCTCTGTGCTTCCTGGCAACTGGTCGGGCTGATTCCCTTATACCGTTGGTGGCCGGTGTCTGGTATCTGCTGCTGCTGCAGCTTGTGCCCGTTTCGCCCCGCTACTTCCCTGGAGGGTTGCGCCTGTGTGGACTATCTGGAGATATGAGATACCACTTGTCCTTGAGGATGCTGTCCTGCTGAGGGTGGCACCGGAACATCTGCTTGTCTGTTGCCTGGGTCCCTGGCTGTTGACCGTTCCTGGTTCTGAAGATGCTCCCTGAACCGAATACGATGTCCGCCCTGTTTTTCTCCATTGCTCCTTTGTCCGTCTTCACTCAGTCTGAGCCTTGGACAGTTCTCCTCTGTGTGAAAATACCATCTACATCTTCTGCACCAATCTGTGTAAGGTGTAGCAATTTCTACTTTCCAGCAGGTACCTTTTGGAGACTGGATGACCAGCTCGTCATCTATTTTGGACCGAGCTTCGGGAGGCATGTCAAACTTTACATTCATTAATTTTGTCCTGTCTTTCGAGCGGAACTCTAAGGGCCAGTATCCAGAACTTCGACTCTGCCTCCAAAATTCGAGCCTCTTGTAATTCTTGTCTGGATAACCTCGGCTTGAAGGAGACTACATACACCTTATCCGCCAATTTGATGCTTAGTTCCTTCTGTTGCACGAGCCAGTCCGCAATCTCCTTCGCCTTTGCCACATAAGAGGCCACGTTCGCACCTTCAAATTTGACTTTGCCCCTGCGAAGCCCGGGGTGGAAGAGTTTCTTTGCATTCCACCCGTCTTCATATGCCCGAATTAAGTCCTCCTTAACTGAGCGTTGCAAGTTTCTAGCTTCCCCTTGGAAAGTTACCATTACCGACCTTTCTCTCAGCCACTGCTCTTTCACCTCGTCCACCATTTTGTTAACTACGAAATGTTTCCCTTCTCTGTCTTCTACTACTTCTCCCAGACATGCATCGTCTGGGCATACTCCCTCGTCGTAGCAGCGGCCCACGGATTCCCTCACCCTGTCGAGCTCTCCTGCCTGCGTGGGGATTCCATCGTTCCCTTGTGCTTCCATTATACCTTTGATTCCAGGATTCTTTGGACCCGTGAGACTACAAGATACTCACCGTCTGCTACTCCCCACCTCTCGTGCTGCTTCTCCCTCTTGGTCCCCTTCTCTAATTCTCCCTTCCACTGTTCTTCCACTTTTCCTTACTACTCCCTCTCACCCTCAGTCAGACTCGTTTGGATCCCCAACCCTGGAACCATGGACCAACTGTTGGGACTGTACTCATACAGCCGAGAGGATTGCTTCCACCATGTTAGGCCTTGGATTCCGGAACTCACGCCACTTAAATTCCTTTCTTGCCCAACTCTTCCCCTTCCCACGCTGCTCCTGCCTCGTCTTACTGCTACCTTGCTTCTCTTTGGGGTACCACCTCTTGCAGGTTAGAATACAGTGCTTCCCTGCCCCCTTTGGGCAGCCCTGTGCCTTTTCCCACCAATTAAAACTTCGGAGTTGTCACCCCTCCGGTGCCTCCCTCGAGTCAGCGCCGCTATAAGCTTGCCAGCTAACCCCTTTTGAACCTGAGCAGCGTGTAAGGGAACAACTTGAGAGAGATCAGCAGCCAATTTTGTCAGAAGAAGTAAGTAATTTCCTCTCCCTTTGTGCCCTTTCAAACAAGCTCGACTCTCCCCACTGTAATTCTTTCTCACCGCTTGCCTTTCCCTCCCTCCTTAAATCTGGGGACACTAACTTCTGGCTCTCCCTCGGGTTTCAGACTGTGGTGTATAATCCCTTCCCCACAGGAGCGATCCTCTGTCCTCGCGGTATTAGAGCCTTGTTACCCCTGTAAACGTTGCCCTCCCTTTTGCCGCGTTACTACTGTGTTGACTAACCTCCAAATTGTCCTCCCATTTTACAGTCCTTGTAGTAGCTAAGGCAGATTGCTACCTAGATTACTACGGGCGACAAAGTAATTACCTAACTCAGTGTGAGATAGGCGCCGTCAGAACCTCTGGCGGAATAGTAATTAATCTCACTTTTGAACCAAGAAGAGACAGGATCCTTCCTACTTTATTATCCTTCCACTGCTTTCCTTTCCTTCCCTCCTTCAGCGTGGAAGGACTAAATCCTACTATTCCATCTTACATACCACCGGAGCAATCTTTGACCCCGTGGCGCGGAAGCCTTGCTTCCCTCGATTCCGAAAACCGCACCATCGACCCGGTGTAGCCGAGCGTCCTAAGGTAAGATCCAGCATGTCAGTCCTGTGGCAACTATTGCATAATCCGGATCCGCTTGCTCCTGGCGACTGTGTATCAGATCTCTAAGGTATTGTCATCGCTCGAGTTCCAATCGGAGTGAAATTTTATCTGCGCTGCTTTCATCAGGGGAGAGCAATGTCACGTTTTCCCGTACCTGTCCTTGACGAAGGTCGGACAGTAGGATTGACTTACCTGTTGATGAGAGGCGTATATCCGATGGTTAGTGCCAGGAACACGAATGGGTACATGCATACATTTTGGCCGCACCAGACCGGAAGTATATCTTGTATATATTCATGATCAGAGTGCCGAGTCTTCGTGAACAAAAAACGAATGTGTACAAGGACTCTCTCTCTCTCTCTCTCTCTCTCTCTCTCTCTCTCTCTCTCTCTCT